CCCTGGGGATCCCTGAGGCTTTATAAAGCCGTTATGTAATAAATAACAAAAGTGTCAATAATTTGGCCAAAATTTGGACAAAATTTGTACTACAGAATTGCGGATCTTTGCCAAAAAACGGAATGATCTGCGTTACACAACTTTCAACAATCCCTGACTGTTGATCTAATGTTTGTTTTTTTTAAAACTCAAAACAATTCATTTGCGACAAAAATTCAGATAAAAAATAAACACAAGAATAAACGCAGTAATGATTAAATTTTTTGAAATCCTTTCTTAAAATTATGGAACACTATTAAATGATGATGAATACAATGTAGTTATTGAAGTTGGCGAAACACCAAATAATCAAGTGTTTAAAGCTCATTTTATTATTTTAAAATCTCGCTCCTTATATTTTAAAAATATGTTAAACACGATATCATATAATGAAAATAATATGAAAGTGATTAAAAGAGCCAATATTTCTGCTAAAACATTTGATTAATTATTAAGTAATAATTATTCTATTTTGAGCTTCTTTTTTTTCATATAAAGTTTTTTAACATTAACTGTTTATTTAATAATCTATTTAGTTATATCTATGATGGCACTATTTCATTAGAAGAAGTTGAACCGTCCATTATATTTGATATTTTGATATCTTCTAAAGAATTTTATCTTGAAGAATTGGTTAAACATATTCAACAAAGTTTAATTATGGATAATTCTTCTTGGTTACTCTCAAATTTTTCTCACGTTTATCAATCTTGCTTTGAACATTTACAACAATTTTGCATTGATATTATTGCTGAATATCCAAGTGTCATTTTTGATTCTGACGAATTTATATTCCTTTCAGAAGATATTTTAGTTTCTATCTTGAAACTTGATTATTTACAAGTTGATGAAGGAAAGATTTGGGAATATATTATTAAATGGGGAATTGCACATAATTTACCTTTAAGTTTGAACACCAAGCGATGGTCTGATGAAAACTTTTTAACTATGAAACATACTCTCAAGAATTGTCTTCCTCTAATTCGTTATTTTCAATTGTCTAATGAAGAAATTATTGAGAAAGTTTTTCCTTATGAAAAAATTCTCGATTCAATTTTATGGGATGATATTATGATGAAATTTATAGCTCCAAATCTACAAAATTTGGCTATTCTTTCAACTATTTTACCTCCTCGTAATACTTTCAACTTTGAGTCATTGCCTCCAATTCCCTGCTTTCTCTCCATTTCTGCACCTTGTCAAATATTTACATTGCAATTAGAATCAATTGCAGCTGCATTGATGAAATGTGGAAAAAAGCATCTCGATAAAGAGGAATATGGCAAGGCACTTGCAGATTTAACTAAATCGTTAGAAATAGATCCAAATAATGTAGATGCATTGAGTCATCGAGGGAAAACTTATTACTTTATGAATAGATATGAGGAAGCACTTACAGATTTAAGCAAATCATTAAACATTGAATCAAATAACATAACTGCATTAAGATATCGAGGAATAATTTATCATAAGATGGAAAGATTTGAAGAAACACTAAAAGATTTAACTAGATTTTTGGAGATCGAGCCAAATGATGCACACATATTGTATCTTAGGGGAGAGACCTATTTCTTAATAGATAATAATGAAAAAGCACTTGTTGATTTAAATAAATCATTAGAAATTGATCCAAAAAATGCAATCACTTTGAAAGTTAAAGCAGAGGTTTATTTCAATATGGATAAATATGAAGAAGCACTTACAAATGTAACTAAATCACTAGAAATTAATTCGAACGATGGTGAAGCATTAAAAATTCGAGGTTATGCTTATAAAGCAATGAAAAAATATGAAGAAGCTCTTATTGATTTAGAAAAGTCATTAGAAATTAAACCAAGTGACGAATTTACATTTCTTGCTAGAGGAATTACTTATTATAATTTGAAAAAATATGCAGAGGCTCTTACTGATTTAAGTAAATCATTAGAAATTAAACCCAATGTGCAGTTACATTGAAATATCGAGCAATGGTTCTTTATGAAATAAAAACATATGATACTATTCTTACAGATTTAAATATGTTGGCGGAAATTAGGCATAATGATAGAGGCATGTTAGGTTTACAAGGTGTCACTTATCACCACATGTATAAATATGAAGCAGCACTTAGAGATTTAACTAAATCCTTAGAAATTGAACCAAATGATGTAAATGCATTGTTATATCGAGGAAAAGTTTATCTCGAAATGAATAGATATGAAGAAGCACTTTTTGATTTAAATAATGTATTGAAAATTGATCAGAATAATGTTATGCCATTAGAAAGTCGGGGTGAAATTTATCATAAAATCAGCAAATACGAAGATGCATGTGAAGATTTAACTAAATTATTGGAAATTGATCCTGACAATAAGAATGTATCCAAAATTCTTAAAGACTTGTAACATGCACTGATGGAAGCCGATAATAGTGAAAATATCAAAAACTTCAATGTGATTCTTTACATAAAATAAAATGAATTTTATTAATAAAATTGATAATTCAGCTGAATAGTAGCAAGTGACATACTTTTTACGCAATATATACTTGTATTTAAGTAGTATATGTGATTTATCACCTGGATTTTATGAATTATTACATAGTGGGTAAAGATTGTGTTTCGGTCTATTTTAATCTGTGTAAATATCTACGGTTTGTATATATTTAGATATGAGTAATGTCAAATGAAAACTTGTAATAACTTTTTATTCAATAAGTATAATCTAATAATATTATACCTTTTTATTATATCTCATTCGTATTGATTTAATGAAGATAAAGCTAAGAAAATAAAAATTGACTATTAGATGAGTATAAACGTTATATTTATTTAATAAGAATGAAAAACCATTAGCCAAGAAAGCTTATAGCATTTAAACCTTATATAATGTTTCATTATTTTATTTGTGCAAATATAGTGGTGAGTATAAAGCCATTTATTAATTGTTGTTTTGATTATTTGATAAAATCTAAACCATGCCATGAATTATATTTTGCAAAATAAATAATGCAGCATAGTAGGATACTCTTTCCGTTAAGTTCCAATCATAACAATACCTATATCAGCTATGCTAAACTTTAACTAAAAGATCTAATAGAATTCACTCCGTATAATCTGAAAATTTTAGTTAGAATCAGTTGCGAATATATTATTGCTGCAATCTCGATCACTAACAATATAATCTTAAAGTAAATGTATATACTCTATAATGAGTAATATATCTGAAAAAAAAAAGAATTTGTTAATAAAATTCTGGTTCTATTTTATATTAAATTCCTTTAATCTGATTTGTAGTTTGGAAATAAAATTTTTGACCTGTGACCCACTCAAAAAAATTACGTAATAAATTTCAACACTCCCTTAGTCATTGATATTGAGAGCTATAGAAAAAAATAAAAATTGACGAAGCTTTGTTTATACACAAGTATTGATAAATTTAAAATTCTTTAGAGTCATAATATTGGCTGGTGTTTTCGACCAAGAAATTTTGATCAACTTTGTCGTGTTCGAATGAAAAAACTTCAATCATATTAACCCCAGCTTCTTTCGGACTAACTCCTTTACCATCTAACAAATAGAAACTATATTGATATCCTTTTCAATGTCAAAAATTGATTTTGAATTCAATAAACCTGTCATAGCATTAACTTTTTGAATCACATCGTATGTTTGCCTCCGAATTCCTAATCGTTCCATAGCTGCTGTAATATTGACAGTTGCCACGACAAAAGTATTATTATTATCATGTGTATGCAATGACTCAATCGACGCTATTGATTAATCGGTTTTATAATAATAAATTTACAGGCCGGGTCAAGCTGTTAGCGTCACTAGTTATCAATAGACTCATTTAAGATAGGAACTCGTAGAATCAGTGACTGGGACAGTTCACTAAATGATTAAATTTTATGGGTCAATTGTTCAATGAACTCGTAGAGTGGATAACTAGGACTGTTCGTTGAACTCAAATTATTACTTTTTTTTGGTTTTGCATGATGATAAAAGAGAAATAAATCTGATATAAGCTTTATTTGAAAAAAAAAACAGATTTCTATGAAATATTAATTTTTATATTTCATTTATGTATATTTTTCATTGTCAATAATTGTTGAAAGAAAAACTCGACTTTTTTACTTTAAAGTATTTTTATTCTATCATTATCATTTAATTTATATACATATGATTAACTTCTATATATTTTAGGGAGTTATTCATCGACCCATTGTAAGATGTATGACGCGGAGTCAATGACTAGGTACGGTTCATTAAATGGTTAAATTTTATGGGTTGATAATATTCAACGTGTAGTGGGACGCAAATCACTTATTATTTTTGTCTGCATGATGATAAAAGAGAAAATAAGTCTAATATAGGCTTTATTTGAATGAAAATAAACCAAATTTATATGACTTATTATTTTTATAATCCATTTATGTATTCTTCGCTTTCTTCCTCGTCAAAAGTGAAAGTGCCGCTTCTTTGGAAAATATCCGTGGTTCTGTAAAAAAAAAACCATGTAATTTAATATTATGCAATAAAAAAATTTTTAATAAATAAATACCTGTGTTATTTAACACTGATTGATAAATATCTAAGCCTTCTTCAGTGTGTATTTCTAATTATTGTACTCTTTAGAAGCAAGTTATTACCTTTGGTACTGTCACGGGTTAAATTATGACTTTCGCAACAAAAAAACCTAGCTCAAATGATGAGCACTAATAACTTTCAAGAGTGATTACCAAATCTTTAATCTGTTTGATTTTATACATAATACTTATGATATTTATTCTAGAATACAAATATTATATGTCATGAATGAAATAGAGAAAGAGTTTGTGAAATATTTAAAACTAGGTCATGGACTTCGATATAATGATAGAAGCTTTATTATACTGAGCCGCTAATTGGTGAAAAACAACTTAAAATTGAAGAATACACTAAAAGGTTATATTTATGAACCAACTGAAGAAAAGCAGATATCAACCTGGGATATAATTTCTGAAAGATTCAAACTTTAGAACGTGAAAAATTCGAACTCTCTTCTGGCTATCTACCTCGAAAATACCTTAAATTAATAATTCCTGTGCTTAAAATCACATACGTTGGAAATCCATTTGATTCTTTTAAAGCTTATATAGAAAAATCAAGTAAAGCAGTACTATGTCAGCAATTTCTTGCTTAAATGATTTTAGTGGGAGGTGGTTTAATTATTAAAAATGCATCCGATTTTTAAAATAAGTTAAAGTTAAATATTTTAAAAGCTCGTACATTTGGATTATTGATGAAATAAGTCATATTCATAAATACAAAAATCCATTTGGAAAAAAATTCTAAAAAATTTTCGAAATTATATAACTTAGATAATAATCCAATACTTGACGGGAAACAATTGGTAAATGTGTTTTTTTTTTATTTTTGTTAAAATTTACAAAACAATTTGAAGAACTTGAATTTTAAATTTATTATTTTTTATTTAATAAATTTATTTATTAATATCATAATTCAAGGTGATTGTGTGAATCACTATTTTTGTATGAAAAATTTTCCGTAATTGTTTATGAGAAAGCAATTTCAGCTTTCACAAACAATTGCAAGAATCAATTATAGCTTTACATGATATGCCGATGGATTAGTTTGCTAGCATTAGCAAAAGGCTTGTTTCCGGAATTACAAGTTTTTATAAAGAGCAAGACAAAATGATTGGCTAATAAATAACACAACTATAAATTTACCATATTGGATAAAGAAATATCATATGAAGAATGGTCTTCTAATAACCCAGAATGAATTGACATTCAGTAAAGAAAAAACTATAGAGTTTCTATGCGAACCTGATTTAACTTTATTGAAACAACACTATTAAAAATATTTCATATAAAGAGCCCAATTGATCTATTAATGAGCACTAACAGAATAGATGAACGAACTTTCCAAATTAATCCATTCATTTTGATAGATTCAAAAGTCGACGCTATTGCTTGAAACCTTATTCAAGAACAGTTGAAAATACAAGTTAAAGTTGCAAATCAATTTAAAGATGATATCGAAAAGACATTAGGGAGTAATAAAAAATTAGTAAATGTTTTTAATAAATATGGTTATTATTTTTGCAAACTTGTATACTTGGTAATTGCATAGAATCGATGTGTTATTCTTATTTTGAATTATCAACAGAAGTGTTTATAAATTTTCAGAGGTCCGAAATATCAAAGAATGAGATGACTTGATAAAAAAAATGAAAAAATTTTCAGTTAAAATTAATTGAAGAGCAAATGAGTTCAAAAGAAATAGTTAATAGGTAAAGTATAAAACTATCAAGATCTTGTACTTTACAAATATATTCATATTTCTCCCTTTATATTTATAGTGAATTGAAGCTTTGTTGGGCACTCATTGATGAACCATTAAATCTTGAGTTTTTCAATTATAAATTAAGTAACGTTAAATTAACATTTGGTAACAAAAAATTAAAATGAGTGAAAAAATTATCTCTGACACAATTAATATAGAGAATTGCTATTTCCACCCCCATTTTGCTAATGCCACCCCCAAAAATTTAAAAAGTGCTCCAGAAGAGATATTGTTATTAGAAACCCCTTCTTTTGATCTTAATAAAAGTTGTTCATCAGGCCTTTCTGGTTCTAATGGTAGTAAAATCATTAAAATCGGACCAATGGGTTTTTTTTAAAGTAAATGAAAGTTAACTAACTTCGGGTAGGAACTACTGGTCTGAATATAATGATTTTACTACCATTATAACCAGAAAGACCTGGTGAACAACTTTAATTAAGGTCGAAAGAAGGGTTTACTTAAAAACACCTCCTCCTAGGGTGGCATTAGCAAAAATGGGGGTGGAAATAGCAATTCTTTTAATATAATATAACCAAATAAATATAAAAAAAAACTTAATTTTTACAAATTTCCACCCACTAACTTTGAACCTACAATTGAAATGATTATAAACTCCGGGTACTCTATTTAGCTTATTGCATTCAATTAATTCTAATGATTATTTTTACACCTCCGTTTTATAAAGTACATTATATCAATCAACGATACACTTATTAATCATAAATTCGAAGATATTGAGCCTTTATTGAAAGATAAGCAAGCCTCAACGCCTTTAGAGTATAATTTAGACTGGTATATTATTGGACACATCAGGATATGAAAGCTTATTTTCGTGGAATTCAGTCGGCCATGAAATGAGTATCAAATCATTAAAAACTAAACAAGAGAAATAATTTATCATACGACTACACGGTGCGAAAAATTATATGTAGTTTAAATAAATTATTGGAATATGTAGCAGACTTAAATAATCATTGGGAATTGATCCAAATAATGCTTGGGCATTGAGAAGCTGTGGTATAACTTAATTTTTATGATGAACATATATGAAGAAATTTAAATAAAACATTAGAAATTGAACCAAATAATGCATTTGCATTAAGAAACCGTGGAGAAACTTATCGTGTGATGAATAAATATAAAGAATTCTTCTGTACATATAATTTTTTATAATGTACGGGAACATCAATTCTTGAACGCTTTGTTTTACTAGTTCTTCACTAGTTAAAAAACTTTGATCAGCAAAGACTCGTGATCACTACACCACGAGTTGTTGTTGATCAAAGTTAACTAGAAACAAAAAAAAAGAATAAATTATTCAGGAATTAATGTCCATGTATATGCTTTGGATAGAAAAGGAATATAAACTTAATAATTTTAAAATATCTTCTATTAAGTATAAAAAAAATTTAACAAGGTAAAGCGTTGTGCTAATGCTGTGAGCCTTGTGAATTAGATAGGCTAAAGTAATATAAAAGTCAGAGACCTGGTAAATACCATTTTTTTATGAGAATTTCAAATCCCGTAACAAAATCGATATTTTCCAGGGTCTCTGATAAGAGTAGAGAAAAGCATAATCATTAGAGTGATCGGGTTATGTGTATTATTCTGTTAACCGTTGCCCATTCTATCCTATTATCCTCTTGTTTAGTTGTATATCTCTATCTAATGGCATTTAATTCTAGGTTTTAACGTTTTAGATTGGATTATATTCGTAATGTGATCTGAAACATGATCCAAGTGGGAAAAATAACTACTCAATTTGTTACATTTGTTATGCGGAAAGTAACCGAAGATGACATAAAATTACGACTAAAGCTAGTTAGTTTTAAATTGATTAAAAATCACGTGAAGCTTATAAATTACTACCTGGCTTTAAACAATTTGAAAATTAATTACGACATACGTTCATATCTGATATGTAGTACGATGTGAGATTTTATAATGGGAAAATGATCAGAAATTTCATAATGATCGTATCCGAATTCCAAAATTGATAATAGCTCACCGACCTTTGATGATTGTGATGATTTATAGATACATTGTAGTTTACTCTACTCTGGGGGTTTTGAATTTTTGATTAATATTCGTATTATGTGAATTTACCATTCTTAACTGGGATATGGATAAATGTTAATAACTTGCGAAAGTGAACTATATACCGTATATTACTAGAATAGTAAGTTCAGCAAAAGAATTTTTTACAGTAATTCATGATTAAATCACGAAAATTACAATGCATAATTAACTCAACCTTGACTACATACTATTTCTCACTAGAATAGCGAATTCTTTAACAAGATCTTTTACAGAAACTCATGATGAAAATTATGATAATTCCAATGCAAACTAATTTACCACATACGATTACCAGAGTGGCAAGTAAATTTTGTGACAGAATCTTTTACAACAACTCATGATGGTAATTGTGATACAAACTAGCTCGACTTTAACTACAAACCATTGCCACTGGAATAAAAAGTAAGTTTTACTTTAGCTCATGATAGAAGTCATGACAATTTGATGCAAGCTAACTTGACCTTAAACACATATCATGCTGACGAGAATAGCGAATTCTGTAACATAAAGGATATTTTAAAGCAACTATTAAAAATTACAGTAATTCCAATAAAAATTAACTCACTACATTTTTGATTATCGGAAAGGCGAGTTTTGTAACAGAATTTCTTGCAGCAACTCATAAGGAAAATTATAATAATTCTAATATAATTCAACCTTAACTACAACTATTGTCACTGGAATAACAAGTAAGTTTGACTGTAACTTATGATAGAAGTTGGAGTCACGATAATTCTGATGAAACTAACTTGACACATACTTCAATTACCCGAAGTAGGTTCTGTAATTGAATTTTAAAGTAACGAATGATTTTCGAAAAAATTCCCGTGAAGAAGGCACGGGCAAAATGCTACGTATTCTGTTGTCAAACATTTCTAAATTAAACTTACATCCATCCGTTCCTGGTTTAGCGCAACTGCGTTGTGCAGCTACCTTATTTATTATTTGTATTACATAAGAACTATTTCATTAATTCATATTCTTGAATGCATAAATGCCCGCAAATTTTTTGAATTAAAATATATCTTATTAGCAAAGCTATCAAAGTTCACTTAAAAAAAATTTTGCATTTGTAAAAGTATTCAATCCAACCTTATCATAATTGAATGTGTAAAATGGGAGATAATATTTTAAGAAATTGCTTAATTACGACAATATTTTTTTATTTTCTAACTTAAAAATACCTACGTACCTAACATAGGCTCCCACTCTAATCCTAATAAAACTCCAAATTAAATTTTGATCTACCGAATTCAAACAGCCGAAATTAGTTTGGAATTTTGCCATAACAAAGACTCAAATATCATCAATTTTATACATATCGATTTTTTTGTTTTGGTAAAATCCCAAACAGCTGTACACGTAATTGTCCATTGGTACTAAAAAGATTTGGGTTACATTACTAAGTACAACAATTTATTTATATTATCACTAGCTTATTTATTTACAAAATAAAAATTATTTTTTTCTTTACTTGTATTACTCGTGCAAATAAGTGAAACCGATTTACCCTTTGCTTTAAATTTTCCCAAATAGAATAATATCTTTATATAGCAATAATTTGGCATAAAACAAATCACAAATTAAATAATTTTTGTTGAAACACGGATAAGATCTTTATCTAATTACGTGAAAAGCCGTAAAACACAAATTGACGGATTAATAATATAACGTACGTTATAAATATTGGCATTGAATACGGTAATTTTTTTCTTGAATTCAAAATGCCGAATAAAAAAGATTTTGCAAAGGATTACAATAACCAGTCCGTAGAACAATTAATAAAAGATGAAAGGTTATCGGATGTTATTTCTCCAGTAACTAGCAATTTAAATCAAATGAGCATCATTGATACAGGAGATTCTAACAAAATATTTCAGTTTGGTAATCATTGTCTTTATGAGAAAGATGAGTATAATGCATTCACTTATTACAAGAAATCTGCTGAAATGGGACATATTGGTGGAATGTATAAACTTGGTTATTGTTATCAATACGGGATAAAAGTTGAGCAGGTAATTCTAAGGGAATCTTTAAAACTGCCATATGTTACAAATTCGGAATTAGGGTTGTAGAAAATTATGAAAAATTCAAAGATATGTTTATGAAGTAAGACAATCTTAATTTTGCAAATTTTCGATTTAAATTATAATATAAATTTAAATTTCATATTGTTTAAATCATCAGGATGTAAGTATGATTATTGTACGAACTAAAATGAAATCAGATTAAAATAGAGTTATTATTGCCATTTTGTACTTAAAAACCATATATTGCCTAATTAACAACATCATATTCTATCATGAATAAGCACATAATCTTCTATATTAACCCTAGGTGCCGCACAAAAATTGCGCGACAGATCCTCGATTTTGATTGGCTAACGCCCGTGGATCTTCAAAATTTTGGCCCGCATTACATAATTGGTTACTAATTTCCGGCCGGAATTAACTTTAATTTTTTCATTACAAAAATAAAAGATAAACCCGCATTATAGTAAAATTGGCCCAGGAACAATTTTCACTTAGTTGACAGCTGCGATTTCATTAGTAAAATTATGAGTAATTCCGGCCTAATTTTTTGATCGTCGATCTGCCGCGCATTTTTTGTGCGGCACCTAGGTTCAATAATCTACACTTGTCCTACCACCACACCTATGAACTGTTGTACATTCGAATAATTTTACTTAGACGATTCATGGCACAAAAGTCTTTGGATCCGACAATTATGTTCTTAAAGTTTGCTCACAAAAATTGTATAAAAGAGCGCTTAGTACAATGCTGGCTAATTCATCAAGATTAAGTCATGTCAGGAATACGTATACTTTCTGAAAATCGATCTCAGATTTGGATTTTGGTTTCTTGTAAAAATACTTGTTATTAAATAATAACTGAAAATCTGATTTCATTGATTATCATTATATTTTTTTAAAAAAAAATCAGAAACTCATTTATACCGATCATTACATGTCTTATTTAGCTTGTGAGTATAAAGAATATACTATAACTGCAATTTCATAAATATTCGAATTTAATTCCTACTTCATTCAGTGAGTGAGTATAAAGAACGTTTATCGGGCAATGCGTTTGAAATAAGTAATCCAGGCTCACAAGCCTTCTTAATAAAATTAATTTAGTTGGTAATTATAACAAAATTCATTAATTGTAAAATAAGGATTTCAATTCATGCAGCATTTACCGTTAAATAAACATTTTGTAGTTTGTGAGTATGAAGCGTTTTTATTGTATTAATGTATTTAAAATGAAATATCGTTAAATAACTTCTCTAAATTGCTTCAATCTGAAGTTCGTGAGTATAAAAGCTTTTATCTCAGCTTTCGAATTATATGATCTACTATTAAAAACATTTTATTTGTGCTAATCTAGTGCGTGAGTATAAAAATAATTTGTAAATGAATGGATATTTAAAATAGCAGTCCAAAGTTACAAATCGTAGATAATTTTTTAACTTACAGCGAGTGAGTATAATGATTAATATATTTTAAATAAGTAATATAAATTAATAATTAAATAATACCTTACAATCATCTATTTATTTATTTATATAATTAAGTTGGTGAGTATAAAAAATAGTTACCCAAAATAAATAATTCAAGTTATAGATATTTAGTATTTAATAATAATCGCATTGATTTAGTCGGTAAGTTCGAAGAACAATTATTAATATTGACTAAATAAATAATAATTCAAATTATAAATAATATGCCAAAATTACTTATTTGTATTTAATCAGTGAGTAAGTGTTAAGATATTATTAAAGTAATTAACTTTTAAATATTTACCATTAATCATATCTTAAATCGTTTCATTCGCGTTAATTTAGTCGGTGAGCATTAATTAATCAGTATATTTAAAATAAACTATAAATATTAATGTTAAGTAATTCAAAACTATTCATTTATTATAGTAAGTGAGCATAAAAGTTTTTTGATAAATTTGCTTAAAATAAAAATACATAATCCCTATTTATCATTAAACAACCCATCGAAATAATTCAATTCGCGTTGATTTAGGCTGTAAGTAAGAATGTTCATTACATAAAAGAATCATGAAAGTTAAATTATAAAAGACCGTATATAATTTATTCTGCATTATAGTTCTGATTATATTTATAATTTTTTTTTAACTTTATGCATAAATTATATCATTTGGTTCCTTGTATTTTATGTTTGTGAAATTTAACGCAAAAATTATTCTTATGATAAACCAATTTAAATTAGTTATTTATTTACAAATAGCTTAACTCGTATCAATTTAGTGAGTAAGTGTAAAGAATGTTCATTAATCAACCGAAAAAACAACGGTAATCATTGAATAATTTTATTTTCATTAATTTAGTCTGTAAGTTTATGCTCAATCAATAGAAGAAACAAAACTAATTATACTTACAGTTGTCCTTGTAGCTCCGCTAACAACTACATTCCGAAACCAATACTTGTCCTCCTCTAGGACAAGCTATCCTTAAAATCAATACATGGTCCACTATGTGGATTAAATATAATACACCTATTAACCAAATCCTAACAATTCAAACCTAGGTGAGTCTTGACCACTCTAGTAGGTTTAGGTCGCAGATAATTAGTTTAGCTTTTAGGTTAAGCTTTTAGTCTGAGCTTTTATTCTTGCATATAATTTATATTTATTTGTTATTATACAAATTAAGTCTTTATATAGTTGATATGTAATTACTTATATAAATTAATCAATAAAGATATGAGCAAGGCCTCACATTAATACCAAAAAATATATATATATATATATATATATTTGTATTATAGTTATTTATTTTTTTATTGGTTTTGATAATAAATTTGTTTGGAATATACAATAAAAGTGGCATGACTACTTGGATTAAATTTTAACAAATAAAGTATATATTGAGTTAAAAAAAAAATTCTATATTAGATTATTATTTATTTATTTTTTTTTAATATTAAAGTGATCACTTAGACCCTTGGCACTTTATTAGTTCAAGCGGATAGACCGATATTAGTTAATTTTAATACTAGCTTTACATATTATATCAGTATTACGAGAGTACAACTAGTCACATATACAATTTTTGATTGCCTAATTAAGTAGTCTGCCCGAAGTGTTAGTACTATGCTAAGGGTTCTACACTAGCTGTCATACTTATAGCCTAACTAGGAAGCTATCTATTTAAACTCTCTGGCTTCAACTGACATCACATGTTTCCTCCTAATATACCTCTTCACAAGGTAATTTACCGTTAAAAACCTAAGACTTTAGCCACCAACCTAATTTGGAAGCATTTATCCTTGTAGTAAATCTAACAGAGTAGTATATATTCTAACATATGATTACCTGCATGTTCGGTAACTTCTTCCTAACTAGTACATGTTGTACTGCTGTTACCAGGTTCATATCTCAAGCCAACTTTTGGGGTGCTGCTATAACCCAATCTGTATCTCAAACACAATCTTTCTAATTAGTTGCCAATTATATACTCCTGCCCTTATATGGTTCACAACAACCCTGGTACCCACATTCTAACTATCTTTTTACCTGAATTCTTTATTAGTCTCTTCCTTACTTCCAGCTGGCAACCCAAAAGAGATGGTTTGCTCAGGCTTTAGGTGCCTAAAGGATACCCTCCTCTTGGTCCATACTTTCAGAGCATATGGCCTTTTCTTCCAGAGTATCTAAACCGGCAGTTTAGCTGGTGTATCTTCCTACTAAAAGATCTGGTTATTCAGTTCTTTAATTTCGGGCCCAGTTCAAATTCAGCCTTCCTGTAGTACCGTCAAAGATTACTGCTATATTCTACTTAGAACTTTCCAAACGGGCTCCGATCTCTGGTCCTGTAACTCATGCTAAGTATAGCCCACAGATTACAGCCTTCCGGAATCCTTTTCTTGGTTCTACAGACTGGATCACCAGATCATCCCTAGGCCAACCTAAGTAGAGATCATTATTTAACATATTCCATTTCTTTTTGAAAGTGCCATCCCTGGGATTCGAACTTAGAACCTATACTATTACTATTTGGTGAGAGTGATGACTAGATCACTTCACTAAGATGCCATATTTCTCTATATTAGATTATTTAAATATTAAAAAATATATATATCAACTATTGAAATAAAAAAGAGTGATTATTAACAAAATATCAGTATTTAGTTAAGGAAAATTGTAAATTAGTTAATTTTATTAAAAGTGCCAACCATTGAAATAGAAAAAAATAGCTATTAAAAATCATATTAGGCTATTATTATGCACTTAAATCTAAAAAAAAAATGATGAGATGTGGTGACTTAGTGTAGTGGTCTAGTCATTACCCTCTCCAAGTGGCAGGTCTAGAGTTCGAATCCCACGGACAATGATATTTGAAAAATAGGCTTGTGTTTCGGTTAACGGCTATGCATATCAGTTGGATTTAATCTGTAACTTCGGTCACACCATCTAGTAATAGGAGCAATAGCGCAATAAATCCGAGGAACTGGCATAACTGAAAACCCATTTGGGAAGTACCAAGTTAGGAGTAACAATGATCTTCGATGGTATCACAAGAGGGCTGAATTCGAACCAGGGCCTGAGATCGGAGAACCAAATGACCAGGTCCTAATGGCGGAGGACACACCAGCTGAACCACCGGGTTCTGTTGCACCGGAGGAAAAAGACATACGCTCTGAAAGTATATACCAAGAGGAGAGCGTCCTTCAGGTACCTAAAGCCTGGGCAGACCGACCCTTCTGGGTTGCCGGCTAGAAGTAAGGGAGAGACTGATAAAGAATCCGGGTAAGAAGACGGTCCAAATGTGGGTACCAGGGTTGTTGAGAACCTAATAAGGGCAGAAGTAGGTAATCACAGGGTTCAATGGTTAGCCCTGACCCCAAGTACATGGGTAGAGCCATGGCGTAGGTTGCCGAAGTCTGGATAAATATATGTGTGGGACATGTAATATCTAGCAAATGGAATACCCTATCATCCAATGATTCAGAGGCACCTAGAGTCGGGGTAAGCAAACTTTACGGAATGTGTTGACCAATGGTGAGGTAAATAGAGGTTAACTATGACTATACTGGGCCATAAGGTTTGGTACGTCTCACTCAAGGGGGTTATAGAAATTCGGGAACTGAAACACCGCAGAGGGAGGGATCTGGAACATCTGCAGTAGGGGATGACTAATTAGGAAGGTTGTGGCTTGAGATACAGATCAGGTTTTGGCAGTGCCTTAAAAGGTAGCTTGAGATACAAACTCGGTGATGGCAGCATAACAGATACTAGTTAGAAATCAGTTACCAATGATGTACTGAAAATCATGTAAAAATAATATATAACTTGTGTGTACATTCCACCGCATTTGAGTAATAAAGAGGCAGTGTTAAAAAAAAATAAATAAATAAAAAAATGATTTTTTTTTGAAGTTAGATGCATATTTACAATTTATCAAAACCTTTATTAATAAATAGAGAATAAAAAAGAATAGTAAAAATTTTTTTTTTTTTGTTAAGTGTCTAAAGACTAGAGTTTATTGCCGTTTTAGATATAGAGGATCACAAAGACCCTTGTACAAATTGCATTTACAGTATTGAATTTAATCTAACTGGTCCATACCCAACATATATTTTACTCTAGTACCTTTATATTCAGCACTGCTATCTACTTTATCTATATTTGGTAAACTAATTATCTTACCTAGATAGACATTGACTACATATGCCTGCCCCAACCCTTCTGTATTCCACACACTCCAGATTAGATATCAGAGATGTTATGCCTTTAAACCAAAGTTAATACTTGGGTGTTACTCTTACACATCTTCTACCTTTATAGGGTTTACATCCACCCTGATATCTACTTCACTTCTCTTTTAGATTCTTCTCCCCAGCTTAAGATTCGATCCTAGTTAGTTAGCCCAGAACGAGGTTAGTTTATCCCGGCTTTAGGTGCCCTTGAACTCTGAACTCCTGGTATGTGATTTCATAATACACATCATTTTTCTTTGGTGTAACTCCGGCGGCCAACCTGGTTAACCCCTCATCTCAAGAGGTCCAGTCCAAACAATACCCCGAGACTAGTACCATCCAAGTTCCATTCCGCAGTATCGTTGAAAGCTTTTGTTACATTCCTACTTGGGTCTTCCCAAACAGGTTTTCAGTTATCTTGGCTTCTTAGAATTTACACAGCATTGACTTATTATAGAGTTTACATCTGATAATTACTAGAATGCATTCCTCTGTATAATCTGTACACAAATGCAGGACCCATGCTCTACCTCTTTGTAGTAGCTCACTTTTCATTCAAGAATAGTGTTACCTAAGATTATAGATTATAGATCCAAGCTATTTTTAGAATAGTCATTAACTATAACACAGCCCAGTATTTGAAATCATTATCTATGGGATTCGAACACTAGACCTCTGCTTGGTGGGGTAACAACTAGACCACTTCACTAAACTGCCACACTCTTGTGAAAATTTTTAATAAAATAAAAAAAACTATTTAAATGAA